GAGCTTTGAGTGAAAAGGACCACGGGAATGTGTCAAATAACTCAAATATGTGCACCTTTGAATTTGTTACAAATGTGGTTTTGGGAACGATTTTCGAAATTCAGCCCAAAATCGAATCCTATGACTAGCGGTTTATGTTGGGCTGAAAGATGGCATAAAGTGGAAATATCGGAATACTATGAAGTGAATTTAGTCAGTAATCATGATAATGGTGATTTTATTTGGAGGCCTTACTCAATCACTCTTGATATGCAGTCTTATGGAAGGTGTATAAGGGTTAGTCAGCTTGTTGGATTGAATTGCATAGAGCAATATTTTCCTCATCGTGTAGCGAGGCAATTTGGGTTTGATCAAGATATCCCAATTAATATTGTTTTTCCAAGTGGTAACACAAAGGAATAATTACAATAAGCCAATTATGGATAGCAAGCTATACGTGACATTAAAGTCCTACAAGGCAGGTGTTACACTTTGTTACTTTAGCCAGTGGAGAAATTATGTAGCTTCAAATGATGAAGATAGTTGTAAAATATCTCGATTGTCGAGGCAGAAAATGAACTTGAACCAAGCTCCAAGAGGGTCTTGATATATATATAGTCAGGTCACGAGACAGCGACACTTGGCATTTCAACTTTTTGCAAAGTGTCGCGTCACGTTGAATGGATGTAAATAGACTTCATAAGATAAAAAAAAAAAAAAAAAAAAAGTTAGTTTAGAATTCTATTTCGATTAAATTGAGAGTATAAATATATATATATATGGAGTGGATAATGTGAAAACAACTCTTATACTGAAAACAATTTATCCTAGCCGTAGATTATAATCTAGCGGATGACATTCCATCTAAGTTTAAACGCATTTTCATACATTTTACCCCCTCACAGTTGACAGTAGTATTATCTCTCCTCTCGACCTTCCGTTTTTTCTTTTTTCTCATCTCTTTCCTCAACAATTTGGGAATTCTTTCTTCTCAACATTGTTGATTTCTTCTTCGATTCATCAAATTTTCTTCTACAATTTGCAATTAAGCTGGCAGGTAAATTTTAAATTTATCAATTTATGGTTATTTTAACAAAAATTGAGTATTATTATTATCTTGAAATTTGCCGAAAATTATTTTGTATTTTAGAATTTGTACGAATCTGATGATTCTGTTGAAGAATGGTGATGATATTGCTAATACAAGCTTTTAAAATATGTTTTTTGGAGCAAATTTTTCTCTTGCTTTCGTAAACTGCACTTAATTATTGTTACTTTGATTTTCTCTCACTTAGGGTTTTGATTTTTAGTTTGATTTAACATCTTTGATATAATAACTTGGATAATTGCTGGTTATTATTAAAATTCTAATCGATTTAAGATAATATTTATTAGGTTTCAGTTGTTAATCGATTATATTACTCGATTTTATTCTGATTCCGAATTCAAGTGCGAGGTGTTAATTTGTTTTTCTCTTTCATATGATTCTGTTTTTAGCTTGTTTTGCATCTTTGTGTTTAGCTTTACTTTTTTTGATCAGATTTTTCATATCTCTTGATTACTTGAATTTTATTACGACTTTGTATTTTGTTTGAGTACATTATCTAAATTAAGTGGAAAATGATGAATTATAGACTCCAATCACTCCATGCATAGCACTCTGAATCTAATTTTACAAGGCCTCGATTAGTCGTTTGCCACCAATTAAGCTCATGATTGCCATATTGTCATAGTTGTTTTGCTTACTTTTTTTTTTTTTTTTTTTGATGACTATATGATATATGAAAGATGGTTTTGACAGGTAGTAACTTTTTCTGGGAATTAAATTCGAGAAACGAAAGTGAACAAGTTATAATACTTGGCTTTATTGTTGCTGTTTGCTTAGGTGGCTGCTCGTGGTGTGGTTCCGGAGTTGTTGCTGCTTAAATCGTTGTTTGGTGAGCGGTGCAGCGGCCGAGATTTGGTGCGGTGGCGAGCTGCTAGTTGCAGGGTGATCCACGGTAGCTGACTAGCTGGTAGTGCGGAGGTGGAGCTACTTGAGTGATAGGCTTACATATAGTAACTCTTTTGTGGCATGGGGTGATATCTTGTTTTTATACTAGTACGGAGTACTATATAGTGACCTTTATTTGTATATACTTGTGCATATTAAGGATATGGATACCTTGTTTTTATATTTAGTGAACTTAATTTGCATATAGAAACCATTAATATAGTTACCTTATTTTTAGATATAGTGACCTCTGTGCAAGTTTCATCAAAGTTGATATTGCAGCCTTGTTTATATATATATATATATATATATTGACCTTTATATAAATGTCGTCAAAATTGTTATAATTTGATATAGTTAGCTTATTTTTGTATATAGTGACCTCTGGATAAGGGGTCAAATTGATATAATTACCCGAAGTTTATATATACTTACCTTATTTTTGTATATAATAACATTAGCAACATAGAAATGTTATAAAATTGATGTAGTTATCTTATTTTTATGTATAGTGACCTTTAGTTTTGTTTATAGTGACCTTTATGTAAATGGTGTCAAAGATTCAAAGTCGTTATAGTTACCTTATTTATGTTCATAATGACCTGTATGTAAATTTTGTCAAAATTGATATAATTATCTTATTTTTGTATATAATGACTTTTGTGTAAATATCGTCACAATTGATATAGTTACGTTATTTTTATATATAGTGACTCTATATAAATGTCGTCAATTTAGAAAAAGTTACCTCATTTTAGTATATAGTGACCTTTAAAATGGTTGAATTGATTATATGTAAGGTTAGAAAGATCTTAGAGCTTGTACACCATCCGATCTTTTGTGCTATTAATGAATGGTTGAGATATTATTACCTTAATCATGTGCTAATTAAAGTATGTCAACTAGATAGTTATGAAGAGAGTATTGCATGAGTAACTAGATATCTCTGTTAACTTAGTTATAAAATTTAAGTTATCTTATTCATTTTATAAAAATGATTTGATATAAAATAGTGAGGAAAAATGTCTAATCGTTGCAAATAATGTGTAACGGAGGTAGTAGTTCTTTATTTTATTTTTTTTACAAACTGATATAGAACTAACTAAAAGTTGTAATTAAGAGAGTATTGCATGCAATACGTGTTAACCTTATTATTTTTCCCAAGTATAGGTATAAAGTTAAGTAATGTTGTATAACTAAATATCTCTCTCTCTGTGTATATATATAAGCTAAAACTCTACCTCTATCGATCTTTTGTTATATCCATGCATTGCACGAGGATCTGGTCTAGTCTAGTCAATTTAAAGTGTTCTTTAATACGTACTACGTGCAATATATGCACTTCAGATTGTTGTTCATAGGCCATGTTCTTTTTGGTTGTATTTCTCTCTACTATATTGACACCTGTTACCGAGTCCTATTATGCTAGGCTCAATATCCAATTGTAATTAATAATTAATAATTAATCATTAAAACTTATGGAGTAATACTTAATATGAGTAGTTAATAATAATAATAACTGATGTGCTCCTGCTCTGCATTGCTCATAAGCTCAAAAGTACAAGGTAATAGTCTAGCATCTCATCTAATCAGTCTAGATCCTAATTATACATTTATCTTTATTTTTATTCTCTTTCTTATCAATACTACTTATTTAATTAACTTTTTACATTTATTCAAAATTAAAAGTTTTAACATGCTTTGTGGTATATTATTCTTTCCACATTAATTTGTTTATCAAACCCCTCAAGCTTTCTAGTCAAAAACAAATAACCTCAACTTTAGATAATTGCACATATCCAATTATGAGAATTTGCCCAAGCAAGGTTCTAACAAAGTAGTATTCATTGGCTTTTGCCCTTTTTAAAGTCTTTTTTCCCATACCGTTTTCTTATAGTTTATCATACTTTCTAATTCATCTTATTTACTTCTCTAGATTTTCATATTAGATGATTTTGCTAATCTGATATAGTTGAAGAGTAGAGACAAAAACATTTGGCATAATCTATCAACTATTGCACTTATACCGTGGAGCTCAAATTAGGGTTATCTATATATCCTAATTGTTGGACCCGGGGGTGCTTCAATTTCATTGATTTCCTGGCTTGTAACCTTATGGTTGGATTTGGGGCGCTTCACTTTCATTGATTTCGTGGCTTATAAGTTATAACCTTGTTTTTACACTTGGGGGGTGCTTTGATTTCAATGATTTCTTGATGTGATCGATATTAGAATCATCACACTGAATTGGTCATTATTCATTGAAATGCTTATGTTGTGTGCCCTTGTACAACGTGATAAGTTTTTTTGCACTGATTGTACAACATGATAAGTTGAGAGTTGAAGCAATGAAGGATAACACTTTTGTGAAATCTACTAATATGGCTTTGTTATCCTTGCAGTTGCTACCATTGGCAATAGATAAGTGCATTAGGTTATGAGTTTGTACTTAGATAGACAAATGCATGAATGTTTAGGATTTTAAATGAAAACTCTAACTTATGGTTGAAGGAATGATGGCTTCTATTAAAACATTTAGAAGTCGAATCATTTTGTAAAAAAAAAAAAGGTCAATGAATCAAGTTAGTCAATTGTTTTATCTTTTTACTTCTAGTTGTTGTGCGAATTATAAAATCTCTTACATAATGTCAGAGTATCTCATAAAAGGCGCGTATTTTTTTTAAGGAACTTGGTTTTAGATAAGCAGTTTTATAATTAATTACTACACTTTTATAATTAGTTTCGCCAAACTAATGTATTATATGGAAAACAAAGAAGCATAAAAAATACGACTGGCAATATTGATGAAGGAGATATGAGAAGTGCATTTGAAGATTGCATATTCGAGCTCCCTTATTCTCTGGAATGTTTCTCACTAGTCGGATTTCTTTCTCCCCTTACATAAAGGTTAACAATCGATATTTCTAAGAAAACCTTTTATTTCCAAATAATCTCGGAAACAACACATGTAAATAAATCAACCTAAAATACTCGTAGTCTCTACTAAAGTAATTGGGGTACACAATAGTCCTTTTTTTCAAACTCTTGACCCACCACAGAGCATTTTTCAGTTTGCACAAAACCCAATTCTTCCCCATCTAACTTTCTCTCTCCTTTTCAAACCTTCAAACTTCCATCTTTCCAAAATTCTGATCAACAATCACACAGTCACACAGTTGAAGATGGAAACGTTAATGGAGGAAAGAGAAGCAACAATGATCTCACCTTCTGGAGGAAAACCCAGTTTCAGAATTGCCCATTTTCTCAAACCCTCATTTCCAATTTCACAACAACAACAAAAACACTTAAACCCTCCTCCAATTTCTACCCCCACTAAACCCATTTCCCAAATCGCTAAATCTCTCTCTTATAAAATCAATTTCAATGGCTGGAAAAACCCAGCAAAAAATTGGAGTAATTGGGTTGATAAATTGCTCCCTAAATTTCAATCTACTTGGAAAAACACTTCAATTTATGAACCAATTATGGGTTCAAAATATGAAATACCTAGATTCAGGGATTCTCTCTTTTCAATTTGTGAAAAATGGTGTCCTGAAAATAACACATTTGTATTCAATTGGGGTGAAGTTACTATAACTTTAGAGGATATTATGGTTTTGGGTGGTTACTCTGTTACAGGGGACTCTGTTTTGAGTAAAATTTCTTCAAGTGAATTGCAGGAAGTTAAGCGTAATTTGGAAGTAGTTTACTCTGAACTCAATAATAGTAAGTCTAGGAAGGTATCCCATTATCAGTGGATGGATGTTTGGATGAAAAACGGGAGCGAATTCGAGCACGAAGCTTTTTTAACTCTTTGGCTGTCAAGGTATGTGTTGCCTTCTCAAGCTGATGGTGTTATCAATAAGGGTGTTTTACCCATTGCTATACTTTTAGCCCGAGGTACTAAATTTGCATTAGCTCCTGCTGTTCTTGCTAGTATATATAAAGATTTGAGGTTGTTGAAAGAAAAGATTGTGTGGTTGAGAGAATTGGGTGATCAGGTTGATGGTGGCAGTGTAAGCAGACTGTGTCTGTCGTCGCCGTTGCAGTTGCTGCAGGTTTGGATTTGGGAAAGATTTACTACATTGAGTCCTAAACCGAATTATGTGACTGATGGTATGTCTAGATTACAGAAGTGGCACAAAGTTGCAAACCCGAAAAATGATGATGTTGGTTTGGCTTTTGATGCTGCTAAGGAGAGCTTTCGATGGAGGCCTTATACGACGAATTTGAATAATGGCTCGGGTTGTGGAAAAATGTATGTAGAAGAGGCTGGTTGGGTGTCTGTTAGTTCTGATGTTTCTATTGATTTGGAGTCTTATGTTAGGATTTTAAGGAATAGTAAGTTGGTTGGGTTGAATTGTGTTGAGCAATACCTGCCTCATCGTGTTTCGATGCAGTTTGGGTTTGATCAAGACATCCCTTGTGTTTTCCCTAGGGTAAGTGACAGCCTAAATCTTGCTTGGAATGATTACAATAGGCCTGTTGGAGATGTTAAACTGTATATTCCATCCAGGCTCTTTGAGTCGGATGTTACAATGAGTTACTTGGAGTGGTGGAAGGATTTAAAAGATGTGAAGGACCATGTATATAGTGTGAAAAGAGAAAAAGATGCAGAAACTACTACAAAACCAATATCATTGTCAGTGCCTCCTGGTTTTAGTCCAAAATCCGAAGGGGTGGCAATGAGTGATTGTTTTGATCAACTTGAACCTTGTTCCAAGAGGTCTCGAGTAACTCCATGGTGTCCTCAAACTGTTATTGAGATCAGTGAATCCGAATCTTCTGGCTTTTCACTTTCTTTATCTTCTCATTCTAAAGGGATGAAATCAGATGAAGAACCAGATGATGATCACCTAACATTGACTGAATTGTTTGGAGTTCAGAGTACTCAAAAGGAAAGTAGAAGGGAAACCTTGTCAGTAAACCGTCAAGAGAGCCCTCAATCTTCTGCAGTAGATAATGCTCTTATTCAAGAGATAACACCAGCGAAAGAAACTTCAGAGAATTCTTTGCCAAGTCTAGAGTCTTCAAGGGAAGAACTTATTGTTGAAGAGAAAAATGAGAGTAAGGTAGAATGTCAGGTCACAACACCAATTAGCACTGAAGTGAATAAAGCTCAAACTAGTTTTAATGGCACTCCTGAGTGTCCTGACAGTTCTGAGACTCCAAAAATGGATATTTTAGATCGGATTGCCTGGGTACAGAAAATCTTTGACATCTACAAATCGGCAAAACTGGGCTCTCTAGAGTCTAGGGTTAAATCCGAATAAGATGCATTCTCAGTTATCTTTATATATTTTGCTTGGTAGTACCATGTACAGGCTAAAGAAGTAGATGTAATTACAAAGTGTTAGAAGTTGTAGATAGGCTGGTTTGAACTTGGAAGGCATTTCAGAGGTTGAATATTTTGCTATCTGATTTGCTAGACAGCATGATGCAAGTAAATCGAATGTAATGTAATTAATTTTATTAATCTTTTGCCAAAGAGCCTTAATCTAATCATTACTAATTATGTTCTCCTTTGTTGTTTATACCTTTGATTGCTTTATAAACATATTTCTGAAGTCTTAAGTACAATGCAACTGTACTGTATCAGTTTCGTCTCCTTGAAATTTACGAGTGCAAGAGAAGCAAGCAATGGATTAGCTTTGTTTAGTCTTATATATTTCCAAGTATGTTGTTTCCTTGTACTCTGCATCAAGTAATGTATGTCGTTGTTCACATCATGGTTTACCACTCTGGATTAAAGCCAAATGGTGAGCACTGAGCAGTGGTTCATATATTGGTGTTCTCTTTTAGAAAAGTCTATACTTCATACATGGGGTTTAACTAGAAGGCAATAAGACAAATTGTTACTAGAAGAGCTATGAGTAAAATTAATATCTACAAGTACATTACTTTATTTGGAAAATTTGGTAATTAGTTGCCTTGGTTTATTTATGATATATAAGCTTCTCGAGGATTAATCACATACATAAACTATGAATTGCTATAGCAGAAAATTCAATTTTTCTTTAATTTGACATCAGAGGCAGTACCTACCTTCTTCCTAGAGCGCGATTTTACTTTGAAGTAGAGCCATAAAACAAAGCAGTCAACAAGAGAGTCATACAGGTACAGATAGTGCTGACAGCATATACTGTAGGAAGACGATTAAAAATATTAAAGAAGATGCCCATGGAGGCAAATGTAACAGAAGCACCAGCCATAAGATGGCTTATATCCTCCCTCCTGTCTTTGGCTGGATTAGCAGTGGAGCTTGCAGAAGACGAATTTTTGTACCTAGTGGGCTTAATCATCCATGAGGAGATCATAAGCACACAAATCAAGCCAGAAATTCCAGTCATGACATAATCAAGCCAAGAAAGGGAGGAGCCACTGTGAATGGCAGCCTCGCAGTTGACAGTGGTGTTGGCGACAAAGGTAGTTATGATCATGGTGCCTATCTGACTGTCTACTTTCGTCCCTGCATGTTTCATCATCTGAATTATTTGTTGTAAACAGATTGACCAAGTGATCTTAATAATCTGTTTGGGTTCCTGAAAACTGTCTTCTTGAGATCCACCACATGGGGGCATGTCTACTAGACATATATCAACAGGAGTGAGCAACTGTGGCGCTGCTGGTGAACAAAAATTGCTGAACCTCTTCTCATTTGTAGATTGTAGTAGTTGACTCCCCTTAATATCCAATTCGCAGGCTCTAAGACATCGCTTGATATAATCCAAATGTGAAAACTTGATTTCACCAATATGCAGACGGGAATTCAGCAAGTCTGCAGTGGATAACTCAACAGGCTGATGAAAACCAGATAAACCTCTGGAGGGAGGTCTAATTATGCCTGAGTAATCATTACCCTCTCCATTGAACCAGGATGATGCAAGCTGTTCATCGATACATAGCTTGATATCGTTATTAGTAGTATTACCAATTAAGTACCATTTTATCTCATTTTCAAACTCCAAGTGTGCCTCATCACGTACTGCTGCAAATGTAAAGTTGTTTGAAGGTAAGATTTCATCAGCATCATCAAGAAACTGTGACTCTTTATTATCATGATTAACAAGCTGGTCCTTCATGAAATCTTGAAATCTTTCTTCATGGCCTCGTTGGAAGCTCGAGTGATCTGTGAGCATCACAAAGATCCGTCCTGAGCTGTCACCAACGCGGCTTATTATTGACTTGCCTCCGTCTCCTATTTGACTGCTTTCATGCATTGAGGGAAATATGGGAACAGATCTTAAGAGTAGCTCTGGACCGAATGCAATTAATTTTCCAGTAACCATGATGTGGGGAGAAACATCAGATACAATTACCCGATCACCCACCATGAAATTCGACCCAATCGAGGTAATCACTGGATTTATGGAGTCTGTCATCTTTTTTCTCTTTGTCTGAAGTTTTGAAGTAATTCAATGTAATTAATCATACAAAAACAATCTTGTGAAGTTTAATATAATGATGCCAAGGCTAAAATAAGACTTTTTTAAGCAGCAGGTAGAAGTTTCTCGACACCTAAATATGCTTTCAAATATAATTACTTGACCAAATAAATAATCAACTTGTATTTCATTATAAGTTTATAACATCAAGTTGGTGATGATCAATTGTCCTTAATGATGTATTGCTGATATGATGAATGTATCACGCTTATTATATGCCACCATCCATTGACATTGTAGCTTGAGCTGATGTAGTACTACTCCCTATATCCCTTGATGTATGCCTCATTCTCTTTATTTTTTTCCTTAATCGACGTCAGAGCAACTGATGTATTCTACATCACTCCATTAAATTAATTAGTTAGCCTCAGTCAACACGGAAATGTGCTTTCAGCATGGCAACCGAGGAGAGCAACTTGTCAGCCAAAATAAAAAACAATCCTACTCCCTTATTCAAATAAGCAACTTGTCACCAAGTAATAATGCAACCTCTAGACATTTAGCCATTGTTTTTTCATTTCCCAAACAATCCTACTCCATTATTCAAATTGAATGAAATCCCCTTTCGTACAGAATTAATGGAAGATCATCGCAGCAGCAGCAGCAACAGCAACAGTTACAGTAAAGAAGACAGCAATGAGAAGATCAATAAGGTGCTATTAATCTGCTACCTTTGGTTGATCTCACTACTTCCCCAGCGATTGGCAGACTATTTTCAGCACATACCCTCACTATATATAGGCACCTTGGTTTTTCTAGCCATCGGTTTCTTCTCCTGTTTCCTGGGATTGCTCAGAGGAGACAACTACAGGTTCAGGCGCGTCTGTGCTGCATATTCATCTATCTGCTTGGGTTTCGTAGTAATTTTTCTTTCCTCCGGTTTCTTGTTACTGGATTCAAATTTACCATTCAAGAAACATCTCTACTTCACTTCTATTGCTCTGACGAATCCCATTCCGATTTTTGTTCTCCTAGTAGTATTGCTACCTCTACTTCTCCATTTCTCATTAGTCCTTAAAAAGTCTTACAAGTAGCATTATATTTTCTGCTTATATGTACTTGTACTTTCATCAAAGGCAATACAATCACAGTAAATGGTGGTTTTACTTGGTATTGCATATAATGTCTCTTGTTTAGTTTTTTTTCTCAGCTAGCAATAAACTAATAATGTTATCTATGGTTGCCCCTTTGCACATAAGTAATTCAATGCTCAGATTGCTCTTCTTGTTGTTATACTACTAAATTAATTATGTAGACAAAATGAATAAATTTGGACCTTAACTAAATTAATTACAAGTTAGCAGATTATGCTAAAGCCTTAAGCCCAAAACGTAACATTAGAGGATAGATAATACAACACTAATTATAATTAAATGAAGTCCTTAACAACCCCCTCAAGTAGGAGAGCATGAATGTCACAGATTTTGTTAACGTATATAGTAGAAAATCAAACTGTTTTTTCAAGGGTTTGTAAAGATATCTTCCAATTGTGCATTTGTAGTTACATGAGCGCCTAAGAGCACTCACATTAGTAAGCACTTTTTTGCTCATGAGCAAAAATGGTGAGCAAATTTGGTAGAAATGGTACTATATTAATGAGGAAAATGAAAAATGTTCATGAGCATTTCAGAATTTGCTCATTGAATGAGCAAATTTCATGATGAATAGTAATCTCGTGGGCCCTAGCATTCATCCAAAATTGATGAGCAAAAATGGTAGAAATGTTACTACATTAATGAACAAAATAAAATATGCTCACGAGCAATTCAATTATTTTTTTATTACCAGCTCATGAATAAATCGGTTGGGAAGAGAGAGAATGAGCAACTAATGTGAGTGCTATGAGCTGTACTAAACTACCAATAGTCAAATAGTAACATCCAATATACGTTTTTTCATGAAAAATCGGGTTTTGAGCTAGTTGGTACAAAGTTGATTGGCTATTAATATCAACTATAATTGTCTAGTAATTAAATAGTTTTAAATTAAGTGTTTATGGTATGCAATTAAATAAATTGTGTCCAATCTAAGAGTTTTATGCATAATTTTCAACCAAATACTAGTTTAAATACACGTATCAATTAATTGGATATTACAGATTTACATTACGATCTTGCTAACGAGTGCCCCTGGGCGTTAGATAAGGATTAATTATATTGGTTAGAATGGTATTAAGTTAGGAATTCATGACAAAATCACGCGTCGTTCAGTGTAATTAATGTTAATTTTACTCTAATATTTGCACTTTAATTCTCTTATCTAATGCCCCGGGGACGCTCATTAGCTTTTGCCTTTACATTATAGGGTTTTAGTCAGATTGGACCATAAAAGTTAGAAAGTACGAAGTATAAGGGTAAGTTTATCCCAAGACTGAGACTTATACTTCAACTCTGCCACATCAAATTTTCACTAAATTTTAATTACTGTTTTATTATTCATACTCATATAAGACTTTATCCAATTTCACACATTATTCCAAGACCTACTCCAGATATACTTATCTAATTAATATTTATAACATTAATTTATTTATATATTTATTAATTATTATAATATGGTGAGTTGGCAACTCACTATTGGACAACATAATTATTTTTGCTCATTTGTATAGTCTCAACTCTCAAGATGGGTTTTAGAATTCAAAACTCATCTCAACACTATATGTAGTCTTGATAAAGATTATTGCTAGAATCTTGCTCTAACACTTGTCTAAAAACTCATCTTAAAACTAGGGATAAACTTACCCTAAGTTTTGACTTGGACACCGGATCGGTTCTCTTCGGTCGCACCGGACTAATCGGTACTTTTATTAATGAGATTATGAGAATTTGATACATATGGGCCATGCCACAAAACTAACTCAAGATGTTACTCAAAATGAATTAAAAGATCCACTAAAAAAAATGTCTCTTTCCTCCAGTCCTCCATTGAAGCAGGCAAGCAGATACTCTGAATTCTCCATTAAAGCAGCTTGTAAGCTTTCTCTCCTCCATTGAAGCATAGGTAAGATGTTTCTATTAATCATCGAATATCAGTTTCACAATCTTGTGTTAATCGTTAATTTAATTCAATTTAGGGTTCTTCTAAGGTGAATTGATTATTGAACTATCGCTTTCAATTTAACTCAAATGCTAGAATTTTGCTATTCATATTTATAAGCGAGAAGAATTTAATTCGATATTTGACTTAAATTTGGTTGCTAATTTGTTGCAAAATCCTTGAATGTTATGGCAGAACTATGAAAAATGGAATTTTTTAATTTCGCCTGGTAAACCTTCCATTACTGCTTTTTTTTTTTTTTTTTTTTTTTGGGGGGGGTTCTTTTTGTTTGTTACTACCTCTGTTTCATAATATTTGAAATGATTTGACATAAAGTAAAGAGGGAAAATGTTTAATCTTTGCAAATAATATGAAACGGAGGTAGTATTTTGGTGTTCGGGTTAAGCTAGTATTTGTATTGAGTTTCATGGAATTAATTTAGCTATATATTGAACCAAACACCAGCAAAAAGAATTAATGGGACTCGAATCTCAATTCCTAATTTAGGCTTGAAGTAAACAGACTATGGAATTTTGGGTTTATCTAATGATTTGAAACCTTGCTTTCCTGTTCTCCTGAGATATAAAGATTATGAATGTTGTGTAGCTTATTGTGTTGCTTTTATATGTTCTTCTTGCCTTTTATAATGTTAGTGATCACTTGGGAAATTTTGTATTTTATATGTAGATAGAGATCGTAATATACTCGTTGATGGATATGCTAACAAAGGATAGTCACCCTGGTGTTGCTAGTAGTATAGTTGATCAAAGGGGAGACATATGTCATGGTGAAGGGGCTAGTGGAAATATGGTTGATATTGTCAATGTGGTACATGATCAGGATGTAGGGGCTGCTACATCTGCGACAAGCAGTCTTCTGCTTGAAGGAGACATTGATATTGGGCCTGATAGTGACCTTCAATTTGAGTCCCATGAAGCTGCGTACAAGTTCTACCAAGAATATGCCAAATCTATGGGATTCACGACCTCAATAAAGAACAGTCGACGTTCAAAGAAATCGAAAGATTTTATCGATGCAAAGTTTGCATGCTCCAGATATGGGGTCACTCCAGAATCTGATGTTGGTAGTAGCCGGCGTTGTAGTGTTAAGAAGACTGATTGTAAGGCTAGCATGCATGTCAAGAGAAACAAGTATGGAAAATGGGTCATACATGAGTTCATTAAGGAGCATAATCACGAACTTTTACCAGCATTGGCATACTATTTTCGTATTCACAGAAATGTGAAATTGATTGAGAAGAATAATATTGATATATTACATGCTGTTAGTGAGCGAACAAAGAAGATGTTTGTTGATATGTCTAGACAGTCTGCTAGTTTTATGAATCATGAATCCCTTAGGGATGCGCGCAGTTCTCTACTTGATAAAGGTAATCGCTTGGTTCTAGATGAAGGAGATGCCCAATTCTTACTCGATTACTTTAAGTGTGTCAAGAAAGAAAATCCTAATTTTTTTTATGCTATAGATTTGAACGAAGAACAGTATCTTAGGAATTTTTTCTGGGTTGATGCTAAAAGTAGGAGTGACTATGCAAGTTTTAGTGATGTTGTCTCTATTGACACCTCATATATAAGGACAAATGACAAGCTACCACTTGTTCTCTTTTTGGGGGTGAACCATCACTTCCAGGCGATGTTGCTTGGCTGTGCCTTGATTGCAGAGGAATTGACGTCAACATTTGTTTGGTTGCTGAAGACTTGGCTCAGGGCAATGGGAGGGAGTGCACCCCAGGTGATTATCTCTGACCAACATCCTTCAATAAAATCTGCCATCCAGGAAGTCTTACCTAATACACGTCATTGCTTTCATCTGTGTAATGTTCTGGAGAAATTCCCAGAAAATCTTGCACATGTCACTAAGAGACACGAAAATTTTACTGGAAAATTCAATGAGTGCGTATTCAAGTCATGGACGGATGAACAATTTGATTTAAGATGGTGGAAAATGGTTGGTAGGTTTGATCTTCAAGAAGATGAGTGGATAAGGTCACTGTATGAAGATCGTAAGAAATGGGTTCCTCTTTATTTAAGTGATATTTTCTTGGCTGGAATGTCCCCTCCTCATCGAACTGATAGCGTATATTCGTTTTTTGACAAATATATTCAAAGAAAACTTACTTTGAAAGAGTTTGTGAAACAATATGGTGCAATTCTGCAGAATAGGTATGAGGAAGAGGCTATAGCAGATTTTGACACATGGCACAAGCAACCTGCACTGAAGTCTCCTTCACCTTGGGAGAAACAAATGTCAACTATATATACACATGCAATATTCAAAAAATTTCAGGTTGAAGTTCTGGGTGTGGTCGGCTGTCATCCTAGGAAAGAAGGTGAAGATGGAACATCCATTACTTATCGAGTAGATGACTGTGAAAAGGATGAAACTTTTTTTGTAGCATGGGATGAAACAAAGTCTCAGGTTTCTTGTTTATGTCGTTCATTTGAGTACAGAGGTTTTTTGTGTAGACACGCAATGCTTGTTCTACAAATCTGTGGTATCTCTAGAATACCATCTCAGTACATATTGAGGAGGTGGACAAAAGATGCAAAAACTACGCAGTTGATGGTAGTTGGAACTGAGAGGTTGCAGACCAGGGCACAGCGTTATGTGGCCTTGTGTAAGCAAGCCATTGAACTGAGTGAAGAAGGATCTTTAACTCAAGAAAGCCACAACATTACCCTGCGAACACTGGTGGATACTCTGAAAAATTGTGTTAGTGTGAATAACATGAATAGAAGTGCTATTGAAGTTGGGGACACTTATTGTGATCATGATATTGTTGAAGCATACCACGGAAATATTTCAACTAGAACTAGCAAAAAAAAGAATGCAGTGAAGAAGAGGAAGGTAATTTTTATGGTTAGGAGTAATATTTATGCTCACGAATGATGGTGCAATTTTGGTGTAGATTGTGTTACAGCTATCTTGTTGTGCAGGTAGCTTCAGAAACAGAAGTGATGCTGACTGATGCTGAGGACAACTTGCATCAAATGGTTTGTCCTTCAGCTATTTCCCCAATTAGATAGTGCACCATTTTGGCTGTATTTAGTTTTGTAAGTGTGCACTCTGGATTCTGATTTAACATTGTTGCTACTTGTAGGAAAATTTAACCTCTGATGGGATATCGCTCAATAATTACTATGGTTCCCAACAGAACGTGCCAGGAGTAGGACTGGTATGCCAAGTCACTGTTTGGAGTTTCTTGCAAAGTTGTTTATTGTTTTGCGAATAATCTGTCAAAATTACAGGTGCAGTTGAACTTAATGGAGCCACCACATGATAATTACTATGTTGATCAAGAAAGTATACCAGGGCTGGTATGCGATTATGAAATTTTGTATGATATTATGTACTACGTATATAATTTATGGTTCTTTTTCTTAATCTGTTCTTTATGACACAGGGGCAATTAAACTCCATAGGACCAAATCATGAAGGATTTTTTGGGGCTCAACAAACTGTACATGGGCTGGTATACTCTCGAATTTTATCCTAAATTCCTAATAGCCAATAATTCTATATACTGTGATCCCCATTCCTGAAAAGAATCCTCCAGCTTAATTTTTATACTTTGTAGGGACATTTGGATTTTCGATCATCATCTAGCTTCTCTTACAGCTCACAGGTAAGTTTTTGAAAATGTCGTGTTTGTAAACAATGTTATTATATTTATGATTCTTACCTTCGTAGTTTGATCCTATATCAGGATGACCATGATTTAAGATCTGCACAGCTGCGTGGAGATGCTTCTAGGCACACTTGAGAATGAGATTTCTTCATGTGTTGGTCAAGTTGTAGATATCTTCGTGTATTGATCAAGTTGTAGATATCTTTAAAGGTTAGATTTGGTACTATATGAGGTATCTACTATGGACTTATTTTCAATATGATGTTCTTTTATCATTTGAAGTATTAGATATGCCTTGTGTGCTCTTTTCAAACTCTAGATTTTCTTTTTAATCTGGACAATCTCCATATACCCAGCATAGATCCCTGAAGAAATGGATTGATTTAGGATAGGGGAGACAGGATTAGTAAATTCAAGTTGCTCATATATACAAATGTAAAATTTTGTTAATGGTAGGATGATACCAAAGGAAGCTGGATCTAGTATATTGACAATGCAATTGAAGATCATCGACCTTATAGCAATAAGGGTGATAAGTTTGTGTGGAATTAGGAGATTTTTGTCTATCTTGGCCTCTTGGGGAGAAAATAAAATTAATTATTGCAATGTTTATGACAGGATATGGATTATGGACCCATCACGCATTACTCATTGTTTTCACTTAATTTGTTATATCTGTGTCATGAACCTTCAAAATATTTTTTAGAAACTAGAAAGCCTTGGAAAAACTATAGACTAGATCTATATTTGTCGAATATTGTGTCCTATTCCAACACTTATTGACTTATTTGATTAGCATAGGAATGGATCCAGCTTTGGCACTATTTTGAACCACTACTCAAAATAATGAAGGTATGATTTTGTGAAAATGGATTTATATACTACTAGTTGAAACTAAATAACATGAAATGACTATTTTGCCCACAAGATTGGGCAACACTGCATAATCCTGGGACAAACTTTTGGTTAACCAAAAGATTTTTTATTTCAAATTTAGCTTCTTTAGATTTTTTGGTTGCTGCTGTTCGGACTTGTTGATATCACTATATCAGAACTTCCATGTTACTATAGAATTGTAGTATCATGATTTTATGTGGATTTCATTTCAGAGTGACTCAGCTGAAGTATTCCATGTGACTACCATATTGAGGAGAAAATACAAATTCTGCCTCAGGTATTTCCTCTTGTCTGTCCTTTTTTTTCCTCCACCTCTCTCTAAAGTCCCTAACCCACCCCTTCCATCTTCCTCCCTAAAGTAAATAATTTTTTGCCCATTTTTGTCATTTACAAATTACACCTATATTCATCTTGGTTTCCTGTATATCTCCTAGTTTTATACTCGTTATCTCCACCAATTTACTTCCTCTAGTTTTGTTTGATTCTTTCTTTTAAAGTTTTATGATAATCTTCTTGCAAAATATTAATAATCTCACGGGAATCCTTATGATTATGTTGTTTTCCTAATGCAAATTTATGATTGGATCATTGGAGTCAAATTTAACTTATATTGACTTATTCATTATATACTCATCTATCATCTTGGCTTCTGTTAATTCCTACAAGTATCCACTTCATCATCTCATTTGCTTTTTATATTGATTACTTCAAATGATATGTAGCTAGCTTTCTCTATGGAATGGATTGAAGTGGAAATAGTGTAATCAAATATCATTTGCTTGCAAGTGCAAATGCTTTTTTGTTTGTTTTTGCTTTATATGCAAGTATCTGTTTCCTATCTGGAAGGAATATTTTGCTGTGCTGGTTTGAGCTAAAAGTTGTGTTATCCTTGGATAAAATTACTTAAAAGTTAAAACTACTGAAGAAAATACTTGCACGAGTTTGAGGAAGCAAGTATAAAAAGTAAGGGTGTTATAATATATTTTTATTTAATCCCCTGACAAAATGTTGGGTTCAAATTAGTTGAAATAAGCCTGTAACAAGCTGCACAAGGAAGTTAAACTTGGATGACATATGAAGCATGCGTAAAAACAACTGAATAAGTGCATTTATTTAGTATAATGTGGGATGAAGCCGTAAAGGACATCTTGATATGGTTTCGCAGATGATTTTTTTTTGGCTGTTGGTTTTTAAACCTGATATTATTACCGGATTTGTAAGCTTTGTCACTTTGTAGGTTTTCCTTGCCGAACTTTAGATTGCTTAGGAGAACTAGCTTGCCGGATCAAAATAGCCTTCCTTAAGTAAATGTATCCTAAGTCTTGGATTGACAAATGCAGTTGCCAAGTATCCGATCTCCCATACTTTGGCATTAGTTGATTATGGTAGTTTTATGAGGCAAGGTAAAAGGTTTGATGGCAATTTCAAGAGTATATATATATATATATATAATGCCATGATTTATTTTTCATCTGCAGACATGCATATGAACTTAGACTGTATGCACTTGTGCAAAGTTTATGGCATTAAAGAATATATAATTATTTCATGAAAAGTTGATCTGTTTTCCTGGGCATTCAGCAAGTAAAATTTCATTTAACAAAGAAATCTCAGCATTGCAAGGTTGGATGATGTTGTTGTATCTGATTTGTACCTACCTCTGCTTATTCCTCCTCCAGGTAGCTGCTGATTTTGGCACTGCTCGTTCAATCAGGAGTCGTGTATTTCAGTTGTACCGGAAGTCTGGAAGAATATTGATGCTAATAAGCTATATCGCTTTATTACAGCAATTAGAGAATGTAATGACAAGTATGCAGATAAACCTCACATTGATGCATAATCTTTCATCTATATATCAGTATTTAAGGTGTCCTTTTTCCGTCATGAATTAACCCTAGTTCATATTTTCCATTTCTGATGGATTGGAAACCGGGAATTCAATCATATTGCCAATATATTGTATTGCTTGTTACACTTCTGGAGTTAAACACTTCATTCATTCATTATATCTCCTGTGAATCCTTAATTTTGTTTTGTCCACATACTGTATTAATCTGTTAGGTTAATCTTGAAGTGTCTTTCCCGCTTATTAATACTCCAACGTTTTTCTAAAATTACTCATGCAGTTATAGAATACCTCAACATATAAACACAAGAAGATTATTTTACCCAAAAACCAGGCATCATTAGATTCATTACCTAATCAAAGGTTGAACTTTTTCATTACTGTCTATCAAGTGGTTGCTACAGAGTACTACTCAGTAATTACTATGACAAGTTGAAGAGAGAATTGTAACAGAAGATACTCCATTTACTCGCTAGATAATTACCCACTTCTAATAGAGATTAGTGCCTTAATGACAGTGAAATCCTACTCAACACTTCCATGTACTCTCGAAAAAAACGTTTAAAACTTAAAATAGTATTACAAAATACTATTTATTTTGTACACGACTATTGATCAAAACAAAATAATTTAGGTACACAATTATTGAGTTATTGTATATGTAGAGAATTTCAAATTATATGATGATTTTTATCAGTTTAAAAGAATTTGGTAACTTAATTGACTAGGTTTGGTTTTTTTTTTTTTTAATTTTTTTTTTTATATTTTTAATTCATATTTTTTGTTGTTTAGCTGTTATTGGCAAAATAAGATAAAGTAGGAATCAAATGAGCATATTATGAGATGGATCTCTTTCTTTCTCTCTCTTCATTGTTGGTTGGCATGTCTTTGAAGTTGAGCAATTTGGGCGGTTGATTTACAGCACTTGTTATCTATTACTCATCCACTGTGAAATCATCCCATTTTTATTCTTTATTCTGATTATTATGTGTTTCTGACTAGACAATATTTAATTGATTATTGGCCCAATTTCATCAAATATTTGCAGACATTTTGTTAGTTCTAATCTAGTTGGCTGCTACTTCTTTTTGACATTATTATTCTGATTTTTATGCCTACTCTCATCATAATACACCAATTATTCACTCATCAATTTAAAGCTACCCAACTTTAACCATCAAACTTGAAATAAAGATGTAGGTGTAATAATGTGTTCCTTCCTAGTTTCAAGCTAAGTGCAATCCAAACATAATCTAAATCGAAACATAATTCTGCTATTCATTCAGTAGATTATCCATTTTACATTTTTACGTGATAAACATCTCTAATCGAAGACCTAATGTTACAGGGGAAAAAAATAAGTGAATCAAACAAAGTTATATGGTGTGAAATTGTGAATAGATTATACCGAGTATCAATTACAATATTTTTATAATGTATTATTTAATAACCCAAGCTTTTAGAGTTTATGATGAATCTGATATCATTGTGATAAACTTAGTTTTGAAAGGATTAAAAGAGGGTTCAAACTCCATCATTAATTCATTATTATCATTACCAATAGGTCCACAATCCTAAACTTCAAAAAGAATTTTCAGTTAAAGTGTTCTTTATATCTTCAATGTGATTAAAGTGTGTCCTAGATTTATTTGTATAGGTCTCAATCAAAGGGCTTCTTGAGAAATAAAATGATGTTTAGTAATTATCCCGTTACCTTAAAGCTCTCCTTGATTCAATATGTTGTTTATTTTCATATTGTTACATTATTATTTGTATTTGTATGAATAGCTTTGTTGAACTTTATTCTTTTTTTCATTATGAAGCTAAAAATTGAAGCAAACAAGTATTGTATTGTCCTTGTCTTAAGTTATAATTATAAATATATTACAAACAATATGAAGTACGGATATACGGTTTTTATGAGTATTTTTTCAATGCAAATATAATTATGTCGGAAAATTACAATTTTCGTGAAAAGATGTGTGTATTTAAGAAATTGTAAATATAAGAATATATATCTAGTCAAGTAAAACATTAATAAAAATCGATTAATTAACGTGTGTGTCATTTAATCATGTACTCAGTATAACTTTGTACACCGGTTATCTAAGTGTCAAGTCAAACATCAACTTTTTTAACTACCCTTTTTGAAATTATAGGGGTGCTTTAAAATGTCACCAATGAGATGTTGCAGTGTATCTCATATTCCTAGTAGTTGACTTGCAATTGTTGTAAAGTTATTGGTTAGGAATTATAGGTCATAAGTTCATGATATATAATTAAAAGGAAATAGACAAGTAACAAATAAAATTATGATAAATTAACAATTTTGATAAGGTTGGTCAAGTTTAATAACTTGATTAATTAGAAAATATATATGAAGGCTAATCTAGATTCTAGCATGCATGATCCATGGTTTTATCATGGCATGCGCTTGTCCTAACAATTTTCTCTGAATTTAATTTGCTAAGTCAAATCTTAATGGAATACTTTTTCTTAAAGGAATTGAAAGGAATGCTAATAATTTGTTATGCTTCATTTGAACGATGACTTCCTCCACTTTGAGTTTTAAATTCTAAAACCTTCCCCAACTTAATTGTATTTAAGACTTAAATTGATTTATATCATCTTCATAATACATATCAATACAGTGTTCTTTAAATCTTTCTTTTATTAACGAAAACTAATAAATTGTCATGGTTTGACTTTTGCACTAATTATATATATACAAAAAATAAATAAAAAATAATAATTACGGAGTACATGTTTTACTAATTTTATGTATATGCATGGTGGGATAAAGAAAGATAAAAGAGGGATTGAATTCTCATTGCTATAAACGGAAAACTCGTAATATATAAGCGTGAAACTTTTTTTTAATTGTGAAGTATATTTATATGGAATAATCCTTATAAATATGGAGCAGTAAGTTAAAAATACATGTATGTATAGACGAGCATCCTTTAATAGTAGTTTGAGACATTATAGAAAACAAAAATAGAAACATACTCCATATTATAAAGTTAGTAATTTAATTTATTATGCAAACTAAATTAATTTTGTAAAGGGATTATGATATCATCATGTGGGGGAATGTTTAATTATTGCTCCATCATATAAAGTAATTAATCATGTGATACATGTAAGCAACTTATGTAATTAGCATGAAAAGCTAGATAAGAATAAATACTCTCACAAATCATGATTGTTATAAGATTTTTAATAATAATATATAACAACAAAATATAAAACTAAGGATAGATAAGCACAAATCTTGCTAAGAATAGAAGTAATAATAGATATATTTTAGAAATGTCTTTGGTATGAATTAGCTGGGTGGCTATGAGATCGATGAAACGCAATTATATGGCGAACAGATTTTAATAATTTTGTACCTAAACTCAAACTAAAACCAAATTACGAGTATTTTGATCATTCTTGGAGTATAAGATATGTCAGACAAAAGAGGAAATTTTGTGTCAATTTTACTACTTTGGGTCACCCACGTGCTTATGGGTACTTTGCCGCAAGGGTCGATCTTGTTCCTTGTGGAAAAAGGATTGATTGGTATTCGAGTCAGTTTGGAATCGTGTAAATTATATTGAAAATTTAAGTCAAATTTCTATTTGGTAATTTTGTTTAGTGGGTTTTTGGAATATGGTTAGGTTGTTTACTTGAATATACCGATTATGTATATTTTAAGTAATTTTTTTTATCAAGCTCAATTTTTACATTGAAAGTGAAGTCAATTAAGTTTAGACTAAAAGGTGGCAATGTCAAGCTTGTTGTTGTTAATTTATCTTAATTAACCTAGACAATTGGAAGTTAGAACATATTCCATGAATCATATAATTCAATATCAAACTTCATAAAAGATAGTATTATTTATCAAATCATATCTAAATCCATGTGGATAATATATCACCAAATCACCTATGATATAATTCTTTAAATGTACCCAATATCCCTAACAAATTCTTCTAGCATAGAATTTTCAAGATTTCAAATCAATTTAGAATGATTCTATCTAGTATGTAGGTTCCTAGGTAGGTTAGTTTAGAGTTAAGTCAAATTTTGTCTTATCAACTTATAGTAATGGAAAGTCATGATGAGATTTCTCACACTTAGCAACCCAATTCAATAATGATAATGGGTTCAAATACCCAACACATACTCACTCCTAGGGGTGTTCATAAATCGGTCCGGACCGGAAAAATGGACCGGACCACCCTGGACCGAACCCAGACCGGACCAGACCGAACTAATCGGTCCGGTTTTCGGGTCTTGAAATTCATTTTCCCGGTCTTCGGTCCGGTCCGGTCCAAAACCCTATCAAAACCGGTTTTGGATCGGACCGAATTTTTTATAAAAAAAATGTGTGAAATCTTAAATAACGTTTAAAATTATCCTTAATAAGCTTAGAATACTTTAAGTTTATAAGTTTTTTTGCACTAAACATACAAAAAAAGACGCAAAAATGACGTTACAATATCGTTTTTCCAATATTTTTTTTGTGTTTTCCTTGACTTTATTAAAAATTAATATTCTTTTTAAAAAAATTCTTAAATCGGTCCAAAACGGTCTGGTTCGGGTTTTGGACCGATTCTTTCGGTTCGGTCCGGTCTTTGGTTCTTAAAATTCTAATTTTCGGTCTTCGGTCTTATCCGGGTTGGTCCGATCCGGTCTTGGACCGATGAACAACCCTACTCACCCTTAATTCTCACTACCTCAATCAACAATGAATTTTTATTTAATTTTTCAATTACATTAATATTGTATATATCAAGACGGATCTAATAATAACTACTTTTTGAAGTATAAATTATAAAATGTAATTAAATAAGATTTTTCTAAAAAAAAAAAATACAAATAAAATGGTGTACATGATAATAAAACTTTAAAACACAATATCTTTTTAAAAAATAAGTATATACTTCTCCGTGCTTTTTTTATCACAATATATAGGTTGGGCATGATTTTTTTAGTAATGCAAAAAAGGAAGAGAGGGGGGGGGGGGGGTTTAGAACCGTAGAAGTACAAAAGTAACCATGTGAAATTAGCATAAACTAAATAATCAAAAGTTTAAAGTGAGGTTAGATCAGGGCATTTGCAGTTGTGAACAAAGATATTTTGTTTCTTTAAATGAATATATAGTGCAAT